TAGATGTACGTAATTATGGTAATCATATAATTTAAATCAATCAACCATAATTACATATAATTATATATACATAGACACATATGATTATAGCAATATTATAATTTAACTCTATATATATATACGCACGTAATTGCAGTAATCATTCAATTAAATCCATCATAATTATATATACAATATTCACACATATAGTGATATAGATAGTTTACTTATTAGGAAGGAGTCTTCCCAACTTATCAATTTACTTAATTTTCACAATCAATCATAATCACATATAATTATATACATATATAGACGCGCGTAATTATAGTAATTTTATAATTTAAATCAATCATTTGTAACTTTATCTAAATATATACATATATAGACACACGTAATTATGGTAATCAAAGAATTTAAATCGGTTAATTATAATTGTATATACATACAATTATAATTATAATTGTATATACATAAATTTATAATTAATGTGTGTAATTATAGTAATATTATAATTTAACTTAATCAATCATAATTATATTCCCACATACACAGTAGTTGCTTATTTAGGAACAAATCTTCCTAACTTATTTTTCATATATAAAAAAGAAGTTTACTTAATTCCATTCAATATTTTCATATGTACATATAGCATATATATACTAATATAATATATATCATATTCATATTCATATTCACATTACATAAACATATATAAATATTCATATCATACATATAGTTAGGAAATTGTACTTGCAGTCCCTCAACTATTGCTGATATGCAATTTTATTCCCTTTCATCATCTTGCACTAAGGTCCTAATTTTCATAAAATAAAATATTTTGAAGTATTATACTTTTTGGTTCACAAAAGGTAGGTAAGGAGAGAGCGGGAGGGCTTCTGGGTGAAACTTGGACACATGCCTCAAGGAATGTCACTCTTTCACATAAGATCACACAATGGTTACTACATTTCCTTTATTTGGTAATCCAGTTAAATATAAACAATCTTAAAATTATTCTAAAAGTTAATAATTATGTATAGTGTACGTAAAAAATTATACTCATTTTTTTTTTCCTTTCATTTTTCGCTTTCATTATATTATTCTACATTTTCAACCATACCAAAAACAACCTAGTCCTAATTCTCAACAGTAATTTTAGACATCTATAGTTGATAGAAACAAGTGGCATCCAAAACACCATATAAGCTCCTCTTGGGTTTGGTGTAACGAGTTCATAGATATAAAAAACAAAGCTGCTCAACTCTATTAAAGCTCATTTGAGATTGCTGGTTGGGATTTGGGAAAGCAAGCCAAGGTTATCATCAGTTAAAGGTTAGTTATGCTATCTGGCAAATAGTGAATATTCTATTTCAAGTTTGGCTTGAGTTCATGGGCGGTCCCACATGGGGTCACAAAAAATTTTTATTTTGATTTTTTCAAAAATTCTGTAGTTGCTTTTTTTTCTTTTTCAAGCGTAAGTTTCTTACGCTTAATAAATGTTCCTTTTGTTAATTTATCTAACTATCCGTTTGTTATTAAATGAATTATTGAGCTTTGGCTTTAAAAATTCTTCAAATATGAATTTAGAGGTGAACAAATAGAGAAAATGGTTTCAAACATAGAAGAATCTTTACAGTTTTTAAATTCTATTTGGACATTTTGGAGAAGTAAAAGTCATGAGCAATTGTGGAACTTTCAAGTTTAAGATCACAGTTTACATTTTTGGATCCTTGTAGCCTTCGGAGGTCTAATGCTCGATTTTGTTCGTCGTATATGATATTTGATTGAAATTAATAAGTGTGCTATTTTTTTCCTTTACTATATATTTGATTTTGTATGATTTTGAGGTTTAATGTGATTGGGAAGATGAAGGTGTCGATGAAATTAGTATTTTTGATAGAGAATTTTTGGAGTTCATAAATTTGGCAATTTCAAATTGAAGTTTAACGAAATTTGGCCTATTAGACATAATTGGATTTTTTCTTTGGCTGACTGTAATAAAAATGGGATGTTTAGATTAACAAATTATTGTCCGCAAATTTTAATTACAGTTTCCAGCAAAACCTTTACTTCCACCATTGACTTTTCACAAAGTACGTACGAAAATGCGTAGGCTACACTTATAGTAGTGTATTGATTTATTTTCATTAATGTTATGTTATTTTCTTAAAAAAATAATTGTATTTTAATATTTGCCCCTACGATACAAAAAGTATGGCTCCGCCTTTGCTTGGGCACTAAGATGAGATTAATGCCTAACAATCGAGCATCAATGTGGTGACATTTCAAACTACATTATACTACTGTCAAAGATTCAAACATCAAGTGATCCAAGTAGCATAATTACAAATCAAGTTGAGAAAGCAGGGTCACAATCTTTAAAAAATAGGCCAAGTAGCGAAGCAAATCTCAAACAGACCTGAAAAGCAATGTCTAGAATCTAGATGATATTCTGCTGGGTTTCTCTTATTCTTCATTAAATAATTCGCATGTTCATCCGAACTCAAAAGCTGATAACTCTGCACAAAGAAAAGCAACTCGTGTGAATTAACTTAGAAAACTCAATATAGCACAACAAACTTCCCTATTCTACCTCAAGCAATCATAAAACCTTTCCAACTTTACCAATTTCAAGAGAGGCCCTCTCGAGAATAAAAATAACCCCGGGCTTTTTGTCTGTGTCTGTCGGAACAATCGGGATTCCAGGCATTTCATCAATAACTTGCTCTGCTTTCTCCTTGTCTAAATCACAGCCCTCTGTTTTCGCTTTCTTTGGTGACTGTGGTATATCATTGTAATCTAACTATTCAGATTCCTCTTCTCTATCAAACTTTTCTTTATTCTTTCTCTTCTGTCTCGTCACCTTATACAGCTGCACCATTTTCTATCCTCTTTTTTTATCTGGAACAGTGCGAATGATTTTTCTGAATGCTACAAATATTACATCACAAACAAAAACACCAATTTTAATATGAACATGTTAACAACCGTATGTCATCCATAATTAATATCCCAAATTCTCAATTAAAAAAATTAAAAATTAACAACAAAAATTACTGGAATAATTACAGGCTGACATAGGTATGCGTACATCCAAATACACAGTAATGTGTGTCTGTATCTCTACTATGTAAATTTCTTCTGGGGAGAGATGTTGGTAGAGTCGAACGCAAACCGGCTGTGGATACTGTGAGAGACCCTAGTTTTTTCAATTAGAGGAAAACTGTACTTGAAAAGTAAAACAATTTGGATTTGGAGCCTTGCCTATAGAAAGGCCTAAAATTTTCTTTTCTATTTTTTGAAGCCGGATATGAAGACTAGTGATGGCAATAAGGCGGGTTCAGGGCGGCCCCGTCCCGCCCTGCCCTGCCCTGCCTTGCCCTCGTGCCTTAGATGGGGCGGGTACGGGTGTAGGCCTGCCCCGTTTCCTGCCCCCCATTTCTTTAAAATACAAATTCAAAATTTTAAAATCCAAAGAAAATAATAATTAAACTAACTACATCAATATCCAAAACAAGTACCGGAAACAAACAGTATCCAAAATTAAACATTTGCAATTAGAATTACATTATAACTAAATTTCATTTCTTTATCCAAATATTAATATTTTTCCACTTCGGACTTCGATTCTTCATAACTTCATTCATCAGCAGAGCTAGAGATGACATTCCTAAAATATTCCCAGTTAATTTCAATCATCAAGCCGGATTGATCTATAATTATTGTAGTAACTTTAATCAATATCCACGAGAAATCCATCCAGTATAAGGGATGCAACAAAAAAATATGCAATTCCAATATAGAGCTTCTGAAAAACAGATTGTGAATCCTCAATTTAGTCTCTCATTATCAAGTTTATACCACTGGACATATAGTTACTCTTTTAACTGAGCATTGAGTTAAAGATAGTACATCTTCTCATTTCAGCAAATAATTGAACTATAGGCAGACAACCATTTAATAGCCGAAAAAAAAATTCTTCACAGTAAACAATATTCAGAAGCTGAAAAATAAATTTGTGAACTTAGTAACTTACCTTGGACTTTGGAGAGCTCACTTGACTTAGCCTTTGGAGTTTGGCAATGGCACTGATGGAAGCCGAAAAGAAAAGAAAAAAAGCTGGTGTTTGATAATTTTTCTGGCGACGGATAGTTTGGAACTTTTTCCAATTTTCCCTCAACCCTAGAAATCCCAATGGCTGCGACTGTGCTTGTGTTGTGCATTTTGATTTTTGAGTTGAGGCGGGGTTCATTTAAAATTGGCCAGGTCAAATGGCCAAAATTCCACATTGACTTTTCCACAAATCAATAATTTCAAAGTATCTTAAGGATGTTCAAAGACAAAAATACCTTTAAGTGAATAAAATAATTACAAAATATGGTTATGTTAAAAATATATTTCTACCATTTTAGTTAACAAATAAAAACCAAACACTCCCTACATAAAATTACAGAATCAGCTCAAATACAGATAAAAACTCTCTCAACTTCTTCACTATGAAAATTTCAAAAATATCCATAGTTGAAGAAAAAAATTGCTTTCTATCAATTACTTCGAATCGGTAAGTATAAATACGTATGTTTAATTTCGTTTTCATTAAATGTGTATACGTTTTTACTCGATAAATTAAAATTCGACATAAGTTGTTGGCAAATAAATTTCTTAGCAGATCTATAATTTTTTTAAGCATGAACGAAAAAAAAAAATCATCTGCACAACTTTCCGATTGGTTCGCCTTCTGTTATGAAAAAAGCATACGGGATTGGCTGTCAGCCGAGATTTCGACTGTTAACAGACTTTACTGTTAACAGCCCCAAGCTCAGTCTTTAACAGTCGAGATACGGCTGTTAACATCCGAATCGTGGCTGTTAACAGCTGAAACCAAAGCTATTAACAGCCAATATCTCAAATGTTAACAGCCAAAACATTGACTTTTAACAGCCCAAATTTTGGCTGTTAAATCAGCTATTTTGTAAATTTTAATAAGTTTGTTCCCACCGTAAGCTGAAAATGTTTACAAATTCTGTTTTGCTATGCACAGATATAAGAATTATACTTATGATTTTTTATTTTTGTGATTTTTAATTGGATGAAAATAATTGGTGGGTATGGAAATAGACGAATAATATGCCCTCTAGTATGGCACACATATAACAGAGACTATATCGTATTCAGAACTGTACCATGACATACAGAACAAGCTGAACGTTGATTTATCTCAATACAATATGGTACTGAGATATCAATTCAGGGATAATTTTCCATATTCAATTCCACCTATAAAGGTTACATCTGAAATTAAAGTGAATTATTTGTTTGAGATGAACAAAATGCAAGTGACACCGATTTACGT